ATAATTTTTGACTGTATAATTAATGATTTAAAAATTGTTAAAGTTGAAATTTATAATAAAAATATAGTAAGTGGACTCAAATTTTTGGAAGTAACCATATATATTTTTATATTCTTTTAATAAATTTATAATTTAATCTGATTACAGATTATTTGCAAAAAATATATATATATAGTATTTAAATTATTATTCTTTATTTTAGCAAAAACCAAAATTTTATATTAATTTTTATATTAAAAATATATAAAGTATAAAAATCTTCTTTAAAAATGTTTTAATAAAATCTCTTAATTTTTATCAAACATATAATTTAAAAATAAAGATAATACAAAATGTAAAGAATGTTTTTAGGTAACTTTATATGAAATAATGTTTTTATGAATTTTCATAATATTAAAATAATCTTTGATAAAATTATATTTAAAAAATCAATTATCAAAACTTATAAATTTCATTGTATATATTATAAATATATGATATAAAATTTTTGCTTAAATTGAGTTAATAAAAATTAAAAAATTTAATTTAAAAAAGTGACTACAATATCCTGATGAACCTTTATTACAAGGCAAGATAATAAGTAAAAGAGGTTTAAAAAAAATTTTTTTTTAAAAAACCAATATCTTTTAAAACTTTTTAAAATCCAATTTGATAAGATCCAACAAGATATTATGAATTAGATCAATTCAAATCATTAATTGGCTAAATAATTTTTGCTAAATTTTTGTATACTTTGGATTATAATCTATATTGGTAAACATCATTTTTAATAAAATAAAACATATACTATACAACAATAAAGCAAACTAAATATATACAACAATGAGGCAAGAAAATAATATAACCAGATTTTTATATTAACTGCTCTATAAAAATTATAAACATCTATTTGCTGCTTAAAATTTTTTTGAACCATTTTATCAAACAAACAGATTCCAATAGAAACGAAAATTTACGAATATTTATAGTCGATAATATTTTTTTTTGTTGAATATTCTTATAATACAGAAGTTAAAGAAATTGAGTTATGTTCAGGATGCACCGTCTCATCATGTTTTTTGTAAAAACTAATCGATAATCTATCCAAGGAATGCATGTCGTTAAATTCCATTGCATTACTACATGACTAATAAATAAAACGCTTCAATCCCAGCGATCACCAAGCTAAATTCACGAAATCCTTGTTATCACTTTTCATCAATTTTTACCACATATCCCCTCTTAACGTCCCACGGTCCTTCAGGGTCTCCTAGTCCACTCTTAGTCTCCGGATAATTTTCTATATTGTTCATAGAGTCCAATTTTCGATGCGACCCACTCTTTGATAGTTTGAACTTTCCCACGAGACTTGGGTCATGTCGCTTGGCCATTTTTATACTTTGAGGGTCCGACAAAGCGAGAATGTGTTCCACCAGCCATTTGACCAGTGCATGCTTTTTTTCTTGAACCGCCAAGCATAATATATTCATCTTCTTGCTGTCATCCCATATCCGGGCGTCGGCGCCCTTTTGCATCATTAATTTAATTATGTTGGTGGACCAATCATATTTTACAGCCAAGAACAACGCCGTAGGGGCATAGAAATCCTGTTTTTAATAAAATCCGTTTTAACTTCACATAGAAAGTTTTTGAACTGAAAGCATTAAATAAAAATAGAAATACAAATGGATATTTACATTTCTATATGTCCCTTTCACAGTGCACGGCAAATTCGGGTTGGCCCCTTTATTCAGCAAGGCTGTGATTATGTGTTCCTTATCATTGGGATTGTTTTTCGGCTCGGCCAAAAAGTACGACAGTACGGTCAGGCCGTCCTTGTCACGTGCATTTATCGGACAACCATTGTCACATAGTATTTCTATCGCTTCTACCGTGTACTTCACGTACCTTTCCAATTTCTCTTTCTCTATTATATCTTTCCGTGCTACCGTATTCTCAAATAATCTATGAAGAGCTGTTTTCTTTTCATAGTTCTTCGCCTTGAAATCAGCCTCATATTGTTTCAAAGTTTTCAGCATGCTTACTAATGTCTTTCCTTTGCAATAAGCCGATGCAATGTGTATCAAAGGTTCGGGAATGCACCCGTACAGATATGGTACCGACACCTTAGTGTCATTATCCTTAACAATGACAATAGGATCTCCGGCATCAATGTGATACTGTAATCCTACCACGTCACCAGCTGCAACGTGAAGTCCAGGATGACATCGTTCGAGTTCTTCATAACCCTTTTTAGATTGATTCTCCTCGATGTACCTTTCGCAAAGCTCACTACATTTCTTCATCTCTGAATAGATATTAGGGCGACGGGCTCCAGTACGACCTGATTATAAGAGAAATGTTAGCCAAATTATTCATACCTCACATATAAAAAGTAATTTAAAAATCTCTTTTGATACATACTTTGTGGTGGATTATCTTGTGACGATAGATTATGTTTATATGGCTGCTGAGATTGTGAATGCAGTTGATTCTGGGGTTGTGGATGAGGTTTAAGTTGCGGGGATTGAGAATGAGGCGAGTATTGTTGATTTTGGGGTGGGTAATATTGATTTTGAGGCGGGTGTGGTTGATTTTGAGGTTGAGGTTGGTAGGGTTGTTGATTTTGAGGTTGAGGTTGGTAGGGTTGTTGATTTTGAGGTTGGTAGGGTTGTTGATTTTGAGGTGGGTAAGGTTGTTGATTTTGAGGTTGGTAGGGTTGTTGATTTTGAGGTGGGTAAAGTTGATTTTGGGATGGAGGTTGAGGCGAATAAGATTGAGGGTAGGGTTGAAGTGGATAGGGCTGAGCCTGAGATGGATAGGGTTGAGGTGGATATGGTTGAGGTGAGTAGGATTGAGGTGGATATAAGGAGGTTTGAGACGGATAGGGTTGCGATTGTGATGATGGGTACGGCGGGGTTTGCGGTGGATATGGTGGGGTTTGTGGTGGATAAGGTTGTTGAGATTGCTGCGGCGGATATGGCGGGGTTTGAGGTGGATAGGATGGTTGCTGGGGCTGCGGAGTGTAGAGCTGAGATTGTTGTGGCGGATAGAGAGGTACACCGTTCATATATTCGGCTTGTTGATTATAATATTCGTAGCCACCTGAAGGTTGAGTTGGTGGATACATTTGATTTTGATTGTACACATTATTCTGATTTTGCGGCATTAGGGGATTAACCTGGATCGTTGGCGTGTAAACACTGCCATCAATTTGATTTATTTGACTTTGCATCTCGTGGTATGGCGTATTATTATTATTGGTGTGCGTAGTTCCGGGTTGGTTTGCCGTTGAACTCGATGGCGGCATATAATTTGGTGGTGCTCGATTGTACGTAGGACCTTGGTTTTCTTGATTTCGATTTTTATTCGGCGGGGTTACATTATTGTAAGTAGTTGGAGTAACACCACTACCTGGTGGGGTCCTTCGGTGAGATTCATTCGAGTCCGGAGGGGTATTATAAGTCTTCATTCCAATATTTGTGCCATAACTGGGGGGCTTATTTATCATACCATCGTTCATCGCAGGTTTCTGTTGTATAGACAACCTCTGTGGTTTGTTTTGATCATTCGTATACGTCGGCAACAATCGTATGGTATCCAACTTTTTGCGTATGTATTCAATATCGGGTCTTTCATTCGGGTCTTTATCCCACGCACTTTCGTAGAGGGTCCAATAATCCACGGGAGTGCCGTCGACCGGAGTCTCTCTTCTGCCGCCCGCCACCTCTTTGGCAATATCCAACATTTGCATATTGTTGAATGGAGGTATGCCACTTGATATCTCCCAAAGTAATACACCCAAGCTATATATATCCGACCTTTTGTCACGTTTGTATTTAGGATTAATGAAACATTGCGGTTCAATGTAACCACCCATCCCCACCACCATAGAGTTTGAATTTGCTTGACCCATCTTTGATAACCCAAAATCCGTTATCATCATTCTTCCCTCGTGCACCAATATATTTTTCGAGTGCTGAGATGTCGATAATAAGAAAATTATTGTCTTTAATTGGGTAATGTTGATGCAAGAGCATCCGAAATACAAGGAAGGAACAAACGCATACCAAATCTCTATGCACAATTCCACGATCGTGTATGACCTTAAGTCCACTTGCTATCTGTTTTCCCATCCTTATCTTTGTGGGCCAGTCAAGTGTTGCATGTTTGTTACGTAGATAGTCGCGAAGGTTTCCTCCGTCAGCGTATTGGAGCACCATAAAATACCTTGAGGTTGACGGATCTGTTTTTTTTTTTTTAAGGAGGAAATGTCGTTAGCAAGAGTTTGATAAATGAATTCATGAAAAATTTAGAAATAATCACCTTGACTCACACCAAAGAACCTTATCACATTATCGTGAAAATCGACGGAACGAATTAGTTGGAGCTAATTGATCAAATGATCGTGAGTCCCTAATTCTGCGGTTTCAAGTGTCAAACTGCTCACTAATATTCGAATACCCACCTCTTTAATAAAATCCTCAAAGGAATGGTCTTCCTCCGTGCCCAGATCGTTGTATAGCGTTTTTAATGCCACAGTTTTCTCGGCACTGTTCCAGTATGCTTTCGACACTTCGCCATAAGCACCTCGAGCTATTACCGAGAGGTGCTTAAACGAATTGAAGTCGAAGTACATTATGTGACCACCTTCTATGGCTATTCTTAACCATTGTGACATTTTTTTTGGAAGCGTGCGATTTCAGAAAAATGGAATGAAAAATGTGAAGGGGAATGTTTGCGGTTTGAAAAACGGGAGGGGTAGATGTGATTGTTATAAATGGAATGTGCTGCCATCATCGGAAGTTGCTAACCGATCACTCCGGACTATTAACCCCACATGGTTTTGAAGTATTGTGATAATCTACTGGCCAAACAAATTAAATTTACTTTTCTGTATTTGCCCTAGTGTTTTAGCAATTTCAATAGTAGATTTATCTAAAAATAAACAATTTGACAGTTATCATTATGGATTCTTGTTCATATATTGTATGTAAGAAAATGGGTTTACCAAGACAATTTTTTTTTTCAGCCTATACTTAATTGAAAAGCTAATAATATAATTATGGTGAATAATTAGAAATTCTGTATTCGAAACTTTACGAAATCACAAATCCACATAATAAAAACAATGCATGATTACATTTATAGATGAAACTTATTATCATATTTGATTTTTCCGAGCTTTCATGTTTAATCGATTAATAAAAAAAAGTTGGAAAAGCTCCGTAATCCTATTACACATAAGTCATAAAGCTGAGTGATATGACATCAACTTTTTTTTTTTTCTTTTTATAAATAGCGACGATCAATGCGTTAGCGCATCTCATATGAACGCGTGGCAGTGCGAGTCAAAGATTATGCAGATGAAAAAAGATAAGAATTTGATTTTTTTTTTTTTTTTACTTGATATATACAAAAAAAAAAGGTTGATAAAAAAAAAAAAAAAAAAAATAGAATCAAATATATTTTGTATCCTTCATCTCGCCTTCTCTAGTGTGTTTCTAACATAAATTTTGATATTGAATTCTATCTTTGGTAAATGATTTTGCGTGAAATGTGGGTTGACGACAGAAGAGGTGTAAATAAACAATGAGGGAGGTGAAATGCAATTAGAATTAATGTTTACAATATATAAGTACTTTTGTTGATTTAATTCTCTAAGGAATACCGAAGAAAAGAGGAGAAGTGTAAAGGGATCTTTCTTTGCATTCTTGAACGTACACAGTTACTGAACCCAAACTAAGAATTATTAATAAGGCATCATTAGGAAAAATGTAATCAATTTGTCCATCCAATAGTTACGATTGCGATCAAGAAATTGAGTTTCGGAAGGTGAAGTAGTGCTATATTTCATTCTTGAAGTAGACGACCTCGCCAAGTTGGGGAAAACTGCGGCGGCCTCCATTCGGTTGGCGCTCGTTGAATTATTTTCAATTCTAACCTCCTCCACTGCATTAACTTTCTTCCGTCCAAAGAGTCTGAAACAGATCTCTCTCGTGATTCCAAACTTGTCAATCCTTTTACGTTGGTCTTGATCATATGGGTAATGAATAATTGCCGGTTCAAAGTCTGCCAGGAAAGACATTCTTGACTTTTGATCGATGTGTGCTGTACGTACGTCTTTTGTTGTATATGAAATAATTCGATGAAAAACTCCAAAAAGTTGGCTTGTCGAAGCTTTTCAAGTGTTTGAGATAGTACGTACTTGTTTATGTTAAAAAAAAAAAATTTTTTTTTTTTTTGACAACAAGCTATATATATACAGTAATGTGTGCATACGTGATCATCAGAGATCAGCAGATCAAGGTATATACCTTATAAGCACGTCGTTTGAATGTTTCCACACCGTTTCTCCGCCTGTCTTTCATGCCTCAATAACCTGTTAGACTATGCGTATAAAACTCGAGTTTGAGGAGTCATTAGATTCCCAACGCGTCTGGTATCCCGTAACCGAAGGGCAAAAAAGCAAAACCGTGAAGGACTTGGAAAATAGCATAATACGCGATTTTGGGCTGGAGGAAAAATGTCCAAACGGAATTGCCCTAAACATCGAAGAATTTGAACTCTTGCAAACTTTCAATGTTGATGATTTGATTAGGGATAATGATCTGGTTAGGTAGGTCGCGTTTAATTCCGTTCCCTCATATCATTGATATTTACTTATTGTGATTGATTCTTTTAATTATAGAATAAAACGACGATATGCCGTTGTTTCAGAAAGATCGAAGAAAAGGCAACGCATTCGCTATCCCTCTGAATCAGAATACGCCGTGGACACGACGAGGAACAGCGATAACGATGACGATGATTCTTCCGAGTCCGAAGAAGCAGCGACCACTAAAAGATTTAAGCCAAACGAGGGGGAAGGAAAGATTAATGGCGACAAGAAAATAGTAAGGAGACCTATAAAAACCACCTCATCCTCTTCGTCCTCTTCTTCCTCTTCCTCCTCAAATGAAAGTAGCGAAGATTCAGACGCATCTTCTGGCAGTGACGACTACTCGAGGATGGTGGAGGAATACAACGCTTCGTCGAGTGAGAGCAGTGAGGAAGAAACAAAAAAAAGAAAGGATTCATCTAGTTCTTCACCTTCGACATCAAGTGAAGGTGAAGAATCAGAAAGTGAAAGTTGCGCGAGTGATCTTGATGGAGGGGATGAGCTTGACGAGCAACTTTCAAGGTACAATAGAATTCCACGCATCGATTTTATTCAGCAAGATAATATTAATTTTCGTTCTGTCGCGTGTTAAAGCATAAGCATAAGAATTTCGAAGGCCAAGGAGATGGCAGATAGGTTGATCCCTAAAATTGCAGAAGTAAAGTGCATTAACGATAACAATGATTTGAATCAACCATCAATGGAAGATCAGCAACAACAGGATTCCAAATCGAAAGCGACGAACCAAAGAAAAAAGGTTTTACAAAAAAATAAGTTGACCTCGGATAACGTTGCCACATTAAATAATGGTGAAAACGAATTCAATAATAATCAGAAATCAGTGATAGCTGGCAATTCTCAACAAGGCATTAGACTGAATCCACCGATGTCTCTTTCTTCAACCTCTAACAAAAGGAAAGGGTATTTTCAAGGAATGAAAAATAAAACACCTACGCACGTTAGATTTACAAACGATGAAACGAAAGAGGCGGGAGGTGAAAATTCCAATGCTAACATATCTTCTCAAGAACATGGCGGGGAAATGACTTCGGAAAAGGTTAATGAAGACGAAGATTCGCGACTTCCTTCACCACGTGTCATTATTACGAGGGTTGATATAATGAATCCTCAACAAGATGGCAACCGGCAACAAAAGAGATCGACGAATTCATGGAACAATCAACTTGCCAAAAACCGGGATAACAATACTAACTTTAATTTTAATCAAAAGGAAGGGCAATCATTGTTAAACAACGTGAATGAAGATAAGGCTGCAGTCGGACCCGTTTCCACCCAAGGACGAGAGGTCACCGATGATTCGGGATCATATGAGAGTATGGAATTATATCGGGGTCAACCTAGGACTAACGACATTATTGTCTATAAAGTATGAAACACGCATAAATTACGCTTTGGAAATTAATTGTTCTCTGTAATTTTACGACTGGTATGCGCACTTTCTTTTACTTTACTCAGGTACTAGAGTTCTCTCGGTCGTCCTTCACACCCGAACTCTCCGCTTACGAGGTTAGTCTGATGTAATGCGCGAACGCGATCGCAACGTCATCGCTCAATTGACATCCTTTTCTTTTTTCTTTTTTTTTTTTTACATAAATAGAAAGCGAGGATCATAGGATTCAATCTTCTGACAAATGACGTGACACTCGAAAGATGCGACACGAAACCAAATAGCCAACGGACTCCCGTTGTGAAACATGATAAATTCCATATTGAAGGTTTGGATGATGAGTACGTCATCGACAGTGATCAAGAATTGAGGATTGGTGTATTCACCATTAAATGGGATAAATTGGAACAAGTTAGGCTTGTCAACTGCTGATCCTTGGCGGCATTTTCTTTCATACGTGATTCCCTAATAGAATAAGAAAATCTATAAAAATGTTTATATATGACACTGTAACCCAAACATACAGTATCTGGGGATCTTTTTTTAATCAATTTCATCTCCCAACATCTTTCTCCTAGCGCGGCCATCTTGAAATGTAAAATATAAAACCATTCTCCCGATAAATTTTTCCTTCTACATATAAGATCGTTGTGTACTTTAGTATAAGTTCATTATATTTTTTCAGCGAGAATTTGTTATCAAAGTCCAAACAGAAGTCGACTAGAAATGGTTTTATGTAATCTTCCCTCCAGAGTGATTTGGCGAGGAACAACTGATTAAATCTTTGAATCGGATTCGACGATAATCTGGAGATCGGGTAGTGTTTTATAATTTCGTCCTCTTCATTATTATTATTTGATGAAGCATTTTTTAGGATTATCGCATTGTCCTACGGGTATTGTTACATTTGTCATCATTCGTCAGGTAACCAACGCGCATAATAAGAACAAGATGCATCAACCTACACTAATCAACTCGAAGGAAACTGGATGTTCGATCGGAATTTCCTTACGCCATTCGCTAAGAAATTCGGCGAAGGTCGAATTCACTTCCTGATATGTGTAAATGGTGACCAACTTCGAATTAATATAATTCTCGGGTGTTTAATTGGCTTGAATTATAAATTACTCTCGGAGTCTTACATTTTTCTCATTCTTCTTCAATAGCTGGATTCCAAAAAATCGAACAATCCTCTCTTTCGACAACTTAAAGATTGGTCCTAGTGAAAACAAAGGATGTTCACAAATTTTCACTAAAACAAGTTAAAAGCGGATCATCCTGACTTGCCTACCTACCAGACTCATTTGTATGATCGATCGATTCCGACAAACACGTGAAAACATGTTCGACAATGAATTCAGGAAAACCATACTGCTTGCCGATATCACATAACTCCTTCAGTGACACGTGATCAATATCTATGTCGTAAACGTCAGCAAACATTATGCATGATTTCGCGACCTCGCCCATATATTCCGAGTCAATGTATCGCCAATGCCCTTTCATTAATTAATAAATGTTCAGTTACGACCAACACGCGTATGTGTGTTATTCGTGCAGAAAAAAATCACCTTCAATCTCTAGTGCATATCTTTTTCCGAGAGAATGCCTCAATTCTTCTACACTGGCCTGTACGACATCCTCTAATTCTTCGAATGTATAGAACTTCATCTTATCCTTATCAATGCATCAGAATATATTTGAAATGTTAAAGGGAGAGGAGCTTTCTTTCACGATGGAAACCAAGAGCTCGTCAAACGAATCGACAACGTCCACGCTCACCGTAATATATTTCATCTCGTGTTCCTGTCCTTTATATGGAGTCGTACTTAACAATTCATCCAGTTGCTCAATCTTTGGCGCACTCAACGTCAATTCGCACAAATAACCCAACGTATCGATAACCTCTAGTCCGCGAGAACTTGAGGGATTGTCTTTTATCGGAATTCGGTCGATACCACCCATACCATCTTCATTATCTTCATCCACATCCATACTGTCCTCGTTCTCATTGGCATGCTGGGGATGTGATGAGTCCTTACTCTTGTCGATATCAGGAACAGACGGCGCTAGTATAAGTAGGGAATCGCTATAGTGTTGTTTGCGCATAACGAAAGTCTTATTTCTCGTACACAACACTGGCTCTCCGTCAAGCGACGTTGCCTTTATGCACAAACTTTATCATTGACAAAAAAAGACCTTTAATGTTTAACGCATCTTTACTCTCTTACGCGCTTACACGATTCTTTCGAAAATACCTTGGCAATTCGGCTGTTGCCTCTTGAACTAGCGCGTCATCATACATTTTTGCGACCTCTGGTGGAAGTTCGATTAATTTATATTGATCCTTCTCGTAATCAGGAGAATAAAGAATAATAGTCTCCTCCATGACTATTTTTATTGTAAAGGGGAACGCGTGGAATGTTAAAATAATTTATTCATGTAACATTGGATCAACGGTTGATCACGTGGTAAATCGGCTTATTTTAATATTACTTTATTACTAGATAACATGAAGAATATATTACAATATTATGCTTTTTATGTTGATTGATTTTCCACCGGTCCAGTCCACGAACAGTCCTCAGCTGTACTATATCCCTCCTCATTTTTCATCACACGAATGTATTTATCTGAAAACTCCGATTCGCCAAGCATCCTCGAAAAATTTTGATCATGAGTGATGACAATCAGTTGAAAATTTCTTTGTCGCCTTCGGGACTCGAGTATGTGTCGCAAGCTTGACGCCAGGTTTAAGATGTGCTCGTCGTCAAGATTAGTGGTGGGCTCATCAAGAACAAAGACTCCGCAATTGAGGCAGAAGGTTTCGGCCAATGCCAGGCGAATCAAGATCGATGCGAGATTCTTTTGACCGGCACTACACCTTCCACGCATATCAACGGGGACACCGTTTTTAATCATGACCACTCTGTAATTATATGACCGATTGGCTCGAACCTGCTCCACGTCCGACCTAATTTCAATGTAATCGATGTCAGAGCCCCGATACGTTTCAATCCACAACTCGGCAATTATCGAGTTGATCTCCTCCATCTTCAACGAGTGATAATGCATGATGGCGTTATCAAGGGCCTTCCAGTATTTCTCAAGATCTTTGATACCCATTTCACTGGTCTTGACCTCGATAAATTTTTCTCGGTATTTCTCCTTCGCGTTCTTGTACTCGGTGTTCAATTGAAATGTCGCCCTTCGAATGGTTTCCTCCAACTGTTTAATCTCTCCATCTAACGTTGCCTTGTTAGATAAAAAATTTGATTGAATTCGTTGCAACTCGCCCAAACGCTCTCGATAATTCGATGACGTGCCGAGCGTTTGGATTTTATCGTTCAACTGGGCGATCTGGGTATCAAGATCGTTGAGTCTACCCTGACATTGTCGGTATCTGAGGTTATCCGAAATATCCCGCTCGACCTCGCGAATTTCAGACGTTTCCTTCTCTAAAAATTGTATTTGCTTCTCCAGCCTCCCCATTGATAGCTTTTTTTCGGTGATCTGCTGGTTGATCTTTTCTATGCGCTCCATGCAAGATGCCAACTTCTGTTCCCCGTGGTTTGAATTATATGTCTCGATAGCACGCTCGATTTCGCAAAATCGTTCAAAGAACTTTTTCATTTCGTTGAGGTCGCGCATCGATGAATTCTCGGCGTCAATTTTTTTCTGCCGGAAATTTCGCAGTTCTTCCTCGATCACCCGAATCTTGGGACTTAACTCGGACATTTTTGAATCCAACGTTCTGATCGAATTTTCTTGGGTCCTTATCTCCTCGTCTAACTCGTTAATATCATTTTGCATACGTGAGCGTGCTGCCAAATTGTTCTTCTGTTCTTGCAGCTGGAAGTATAGACGGTGAACCTTGTCCTGACGCGTGGTCAGCTCAAGCGATCGTACATCTTTAACTTTATTGAGATTGTCAATGTCCCTCCTAATTCTTCGCGCTTCAATTTGTAACAGGTCACGTTCCCCCGTCAAATCATCTAATGACTTTGTCGAACCGGATAAACTCAATTCTTGCTGAAGATTATTAATGTCGGTGTCGATCGCCGTAATCTCTTTATAAAGGCGAGCAATGTTTTCGACATCCTTGCCCAACTTCTTCATGTGATCAATCTCACTTTTGATCCCAACGACATTGAGATATACATCCTCCAAAATCGATTCCATGCCGACCTTCTCGTCCTGAAGTTCCTCAATCTGCCTATCTAGTTCGGGTATTTGGCTTTGTAAATTATTGATAGTTATCCAAGCAGACTGCAGATTTCTCAGACGACTCAGGCGTGCTTCGGCATCAAGGATGTCACTTCCCGCGGTAGATAATTTGTCTGGAATCTTGTCGGAAATATATTCTTGCAATTTCTGCTGAAACTTACTTAATTCTTCCATACTGCCAAACGCCCTGTGACATAAAGGACAATTATGTTTTTTCTGCGACACGCCGATAAATGTTTTATATAAGTCCGCATGGTTCGCAAAGCTTGAGTGAAGATCTCGGAGGTCGGTCAGTTCTTCTTCAACTTTCTTTATGACATCAGGTAAATCCCTATCTCCACAGACCTCACTCAATTGCTGACGGCTTTCGTGATTCTCCTGAAGCTTCTTTTGTCTGGTGGATTGCAACATCTGTAATCTTCCATCTATATTGGACAATTCGCGCTTAATTTTTTCATCCTCAGACTCCATCTGTCTGAGTTCGTGCTCCTTACTTCGTAAAATCTTCTGCATATCCTGGTCAAGTGTGTCGATGCACGGCTCCTGACCCAGGATATTACTGAAATCATCTCGGTGCGAGGTCAACAATGATTGTAACTCGTTAGTTTTCTCAAGTCGGTTTGATCTCTGCAAGTCCAGTCTGGCCCTCGCGCTAGCCTGATGAGTCACACTTGAAATCTCCTCGTCTATGTTGCTGATCTTGTGGTCAACATCTCGGAGATCATTTAACCTTGACATACATTTCTTACTAGTTTCGTCATTCTCGATGCTTGATTTTAACTTTTTCAAAGAGGCCTCCTCTTCATCCAGCTGGTTGCTGAGGATAGAGACATCTGCTTCTGAAACCTTTTGGCTACCGAGCTCTTCAACGAGCCTGATTTTCTTCTGTCGCTTGCTATCAACGGTGGACTTTGAACTTTGCCTCAAGTGCTTGAGCGAATTGATCTCGGAATTCAGGCGATTCAGCTGAGCATTCAGTTCGTCCTCTTTCTGCTGCGATTGCTCCCTCTGTCTGATAAATAACCGATCCTTCTCGTTTATTTCATCCTGGAACGATATCTTGAACTTTTGCAAATTCTGATTGGTCAATGGTGCGGCCGTGAGCGTTCTAAATTGGTATGTCCGACTGATTTCCCGAACCAATTTTTCGAGCTCTTCGATCATCTTCTCGTTAACGCTCTGCTCGGCTTCGAGTCTTCCTTTTTCGATCAAGCTCTCGTTAAGACTTGCGCTAAGCTTTTGTAGTTCAGGTAGAATTTGATTTTTTTGGATCAAAATTGTCTGCTTTTCTCCTTGATGCAAAGTTAATCTACCCCTATATTCATCTTTGATTCTCATTAATTCTTCGTCCGATTCATGCATTTCGCGCATGTTGTCCACTAACTCGTCTTTCGTTGAAACCATGACCTGCCTTTCTCTTTGCAACACCTCGACTTCGGTTTTTATCTTGTCGTATTCCCTAACTGTTATCACCAGTTCTTCAATTTCCTTACCATTTTTGTCTATTTGTTCATCAAGAGTGTCCCTTTTTGTTTTTATCTCATCAGCTTTCCTTTGATCATCCTCCAACGTTATCTCAATGTTGTCAGCTCTATCCTTTTCTCTTTTAAATTGCTCTAGCATGATCTTATCCTCCCTAAGAAGTTGAGCCTGATGTTTACGCAAATCCGCGATGTTCGCCAGGGCTTTAGTATATCTGGTCGCGGAAAATATTTCATCAAATTTCTTTTTCAAGACGCTTGGTTCGGACATGGGCCAATTGGACTCCTCTTGATGACAAAAAATTACGTTATCGAGGATGGCCTTGGAAACCCCGAGATGCAAAGGTATCTCATTATCAAGGTCGGCACAGCGTGTGGTAATGCTCACTCTCTCCTTTGTCTCTGGATCTTCTGTTGACAGCAGAGCCTCGAGGGTTGTGCATGTCACCTTTACGCCCGTCACCTTTACCTGCAAGGATCTCGCAACAAGTAACTTTACGTTTTTGATGCTGGTTAGCTTTAATTTGACTTGTCCCTTTACCTCGTGTTCTTGAATTAACCTCGGATCGTGGACAAAGGCACCGCCGATGCGAGTACCCGTCGGCATATCGCCCGTAGTCGCATACTTTAGACACTCTATAATAGTTGTCTTTCCCGCTCCATTTGGCCCTACTATCACGGTAAGTGGTGTTTGAAACCGCATGACAACGGGGGTAATGGGACTGAACGAGCGAATTCCCAGAATCTGAAGTTTTTCAATGGATGACATTTTCTCGCTACGCCAAAATGCGTAAACAAACGCGTCACTACGTATTAAAGACTTGCCACGTGATTGAAGACTTGTTTGAAATTCTACAATATGCGTACGCACAGAGAAACCTCCTTAAATGGATCCCTCCCTAAATGAACCTACTATGTTTTACTCCCTAAATGGACTTCTAGGCTTGGTCCGACTCAATAAAATTGACCTCGATAAATGAACTCCTTCCGTAAATGAACCTTTTGCTTTTTTTCTTTTTTTTTTACTGATCCCGAGAAGAATATATTTAAAGAGGTTCCGTTGTATATTAATTTAGACTTTAATTGAATTAATAATACCAGTAATATACTGTATATTAAAGCAAAATCTATACAAAATATATTCATTTAAAAAAATAAATAATTATTTGTTTATCAAGAAAATTTTAAATTAAATTTTATTTTCAAAATTTGAAAAGTTCTTAAATACCTTTAAAAAATTAAAAAAAAAAATTTTATTAAATAATCTTTAAATATTTTTTTTTTTTAAAAAAAAAAAAATCTTTTCTTGTTTACAATTTTTTTGACTTCTTAAAGTCAAAGAAAGTAAAACAATGTTTTTATTATCAATATTAAAAATGAATTATAAAGTATTTAAAAAAAATTTTTTTATCTTTAAAATAAATTGTTATTAATGAATTTACAATATTTTATAGACTTTTACAAAGTAACTAACTCATCTTCATACATAAGTACTCTAAGTCAGATTTTGAGAACAATATTTCACTTCTCTAATAGATTGGTAATAACCTCTATCTACCAGGATCATTGTCAATAGTTTGTCATTGTTGATTATCCAAAAATCAATGAATTGCTAAGTTAAAAAGGAGAAAGGGAAAAAATAATTGAGAAAAGAGGACAATTCAAGGCACACCAAAAAAATTCAAAAATAAAAACAATCTCTTTTTAAAAGGGATCTGTCTAATTGAAATAGTCTTCTTGCTTTACTTGAATCTCAGAAGAAATCTTCTTTTTTTATCACCTGTGGCATCGGATAAGTCAATCCAACTGATCTTTCATTTAAGTGAGCATTGAATTGGGATATTTCAAGAAAAGCATTTAGACCTCAGTTTTTTTCCATTAAAGCTTTGTCACCACTTGAGGAACTTAAATAAGAGACGGGAGTTTTCAATCCACATTATTGATCACTTGATCTTTTGGTATCATGGAAGTTTTTATTGAGAGACTTGAGCTTTTTGGAGACAACCGTTTCTAGAACCTTTTTTCCAATCACCAATGATATCATCGGAACACATGAATGTAACCAATAGGAGCTTGTTTACATTTCAAAAATTAATGTGTTTCATGTCAGTCAATCACCTTTGGTGAGAATTTGTACTACCAAAAATTAAAGGTCAAACTGAAGTAGGCAAAATTCCCTAGAAAACTATGAAAGCGATAGCTCTAAGAGGCTCACAAGTGACTGAAAGGGGAAAAATAAGTTCTTCTGTCATCAAAAATCTCTATATATCTCTCGCTTCAAAGGTTAAATAGATCTTCAAGTACTTCATAGTTAACTCTTTTTTCTTTGAGAACTTTTTTGCTATTGGTATCAAAGGTATTACTTGACTTTTCTTGGTCACTAGAAGTCAAGTTTTTGAGTGAAGAGGTTTGTAAACAAAAGGGAAAGGGTGGAGGTGACTCTTGAAGTCATACTTCAAGTTATTTTAATGAAAGTATTAAGACTATATTAGCAAAGAAGTATAAAAACTTCTTGCGAATATCTTTTTTGTGTGTGGTCAGAGGATCAGCGGAAAGAGTTGATAATTCTTAACAGTCTTTAGTTTATACTAAGCTACAATTCTTTATTTATAGTTAAGAATACATTTTCCCAGAAGTTATTAAAGATTATCATAATCTATGAGGATTCCCATCACTTTTTGAAACTCTTTTACTATTACAAGACAAAAGAATTTGTTGAAAAATCTAACTTTTTGAATAATGGAAAATGTATACTAGTAAAATTTCTTTAATTAAGTGTAACTATTAAAAAATATTATATTAAAACAATATAATCTAGTTTATACTAAATCACATAAGAATTTGAGATCCATTATAAGTTAACTCTTTATTATAAATGAATAAAAAATTATTATCCAAAGAAGGTTGGGACCAAGTGTGTTTTGAAAGTAAAGACTCCCATTAAATAATAAATTTTCTCAGATAGTATATAAGAAAAAAATTAAGATGAATAAATAAGTTCTTTAGACAGTCAAGAAAAGAAAGAATATCTCAATCAGGTATTTTTTTATTAAGAAGAAGTCTTGAAAAGCAGGTTTTTGAAGAAAGCCAAAAAAATTTTTTTTAATTTTTACTTTTTTATTTTTTTATTATCTACTTAGATATTTTTAGATATCTTCATACACTCTTTCTGCTGATCCTCTGATCACATACAAAAAAGACATTCGCAAGAAGTTTTTATACTTCTATGCTAATAAAGTCTTATCACTTTCCTTAAACCAACTTGAAGAAGCTTTAAGAGCCATCAACTACTTTCCCTTTTCTTGCTTACTATTCTCTTCAAACAAAAACCTGACCTCTAGTAACCAGAAAAGGTCAAGAAACACCTTTCCTACCCATGGCAAGAAAGTTCTGAAAGGAAGAAAAACTATTGGTGCTACTATCCTACACTATAGAGGAATACTACAGAAGTGTATACGTGATGAGAGACAGCTTTTCTACTCTCTTGTCATTTTGTAACCTTCTTATAATGCTTGTTTTTGGTTTTTTCTGGGAAATTTTGTCTACCTCAGTTTGACTCTGAATTTTGAGTAGCACAAAGTTCCTCATACTGTGATTGGATAGATGGATCACATTAGTAAAAGAAGTAAACAAGCTCCTATTGGTCACCTCACGAGTCTGAATGCATTTCCTCAGCTCCATAAGAACCTGGGGTTCACCATAAGTCATTGGGTTTTGGTGTGGGTGGATATAGGACACCTCTCCATTTAATCACTAGTTTCTTCAAGAAAGAGTCCATCTGATTATAGTAAAGATCACAAGATACTATAACTGGATTTTATGATTATAGTCACCTACTCCTGGCTACTTAGTAGGTTCCTTCTCCAGCTCTATCGAATAGGTAAAGATTTGAAACAAAATTCCTGTAGCAAAGTTGGGTTTAATGGCAGGTATGACATAAGGGGAGAAATTTTTATTTTGGGACGACGTGTCTCACTTGAGCACGTTGGTTAGGAGGAATTTAGGAGGATCGATGAATCTTCTTTCTTGGTGTGTGAATTAGATTGATTCAAGTAATTCTTCCCGACAACAAGTCATCTGATAGATTGAAGTAGTTAGAATTTTACAATATAGAGATACTGAAAGTAGCTGAGGAACAGACAGATGCCCTCGACTGATGAAGCACTCGAAGAGTAACCAGCTTATGGAATCAAAGTGATAGTAGTAGCGTAAAATTTTTAACTCTCATAGACAATTCTAAGAGTGTTTTATTACAATTATTTCTTGTAATCTGCATTTTGTATCGATTTGAAATGTTAATAAAACAAGGCTAAGTCACTGTTTCAAAAAAAAAAAAAAAAAAAAAAAAATTTTAAATATTTTCTTCTCCTTTTCTAAACCTATTCTTTTATAGTTTTTTATATTTTAGAAGCTTGATGTGATATATAACAGTAATAACTTCTGACAATGATATAATAGATTAGAAGGATCTTTATTTAAAGACACTGCAAAACAAAATATTGTTTTCAAGATTAAACTTAGAGGATTTTATACTTATGACAAGTTAATTAGATTAGAATAATAGTTTAACTATAATATATATAATGTTACTTGAATAAAAATGTACTTTTGTTTTCAATTGATTAATAAACTAATGATCTAACTTGACTACAGATACTCAAAAAATATATATATATATATACCCAATATATTTTTATTAGTTTTTATAATAATAATCAAAAAAATTCTTTTTGCTAATCTTCTGATCATATACAAAAAAGACATTTATCAAAAGTTTTTTCTCTTCTTTATTAATAAATTCTTAATAATTTCCTTAAAATAACTTGAAATCTGACTTCAAGAGTTGTCTCTACCTTTTTCTTATTGTTTATAAATTACTTTACTCAAAAACTTGACTCTTGATAATCAAGAAAAGTCAAGTAATATATTTAATATTAATAATAGAAAAGTTTTCAAAAGAAAAAAAACTAATTGTAAAGTACTTGAAGATTTTTCCAATCTTTGAAACAAGATTATAAAGTTTTTTTTGCAATAAAAAAGCTTATTTTCTTTATTTTTAACTGTTTAAGCTCTTTTAAAGTTTTCACTTTCATGGTTTTCTAAAGAATTTTGCCTATCTTAAATTGATTCTGAATTTTGAATAGTATAAATCTTTACTAAATATAATTGACTGATATGAAACATATTAGTTTTTAGAATGTAAATAAGTTTCTATTGACCATTTTTATATATTTTAATAATATGTTGATAATTGAAAAAAAAGGTTTTAGAAATATACTGTATACTTTCAGAAGTTCAAGTCTTTAAGAAAGATATTTATAATACCAAAAATCAAATAATGAATAATATAAATTATAAATTCCTATTTGTTACTTAAGTTTCTTAGGTAGTAATAAAATTTTAATGAAAAAAGTTGTAATCTAAATATTTTCTTTGAGATATCCCAATTTAATATTTATTTAAATAAAGGATTAATTGGATTGACTTATCTGATATCACAGATAATTAAAAAGAAGATTTCTTCTAAGATTCAAATGAATAAAAAAATTATCCCAATTAGATAGATAGATCTCTTTTGAGAAAGGTTTGTTTTTATTTTGAACTTTTTTGATAAACCTTAAGTTGTCTTCTTTTTTCAATCATTTTGCTTCTTTTTTAACTTAGCAATTCATTGGTTTTTGGATCAATAGTAACAAACTGTTGACAATAATTCTAATAGATAAATATTATAATCAATCTATTAGAGAAATGTAATATTGTTTTCAAAATTTGATTTAAAGTATTTACATATAAAGATGAGTTGGTTATTTTATAAAAGTCTATAAATTATTATAGATTTTGTTTTAATTTTCAATAAGAACAAGCTATTATAGTATAATTGTAGCTTAAAAAAAAAATTAAGTATTTAAAATTTATAATAAAAATATAATAAGTAAATTAAAACTTTTAAAAGCAACTTTGTTTCAGTTTATAAAATATTATTGATATTTTATATATCAAATAGTACAATTTGAAAAAATTCATCAGAATTTTTTATTAATTAATTTAATCAAATTTGATAATAATTTGATTGCCAAATAACACAATTTTGACTAATGTTTTGACTTTTATCTATATAGTATAAGATTGTTAATGTGATGGCCATAGCAAATGCTTAATAAAGGTTCACATTTATTTTTTTAATATTTTAAAATATAATCAATTACTATGTTTATAATTTTATTTTAATATACTACAGTATATTAATTAATCAAAGAATTATTACAAATAAATTAATATTGTATTATGGCGATAAACCGAAATAACAAGCTCATTAAAAAGGGTGAATTCAAATTATAAGAGACTCGGAATAACATTTTCAATGATTACAACATATAATAGCCCTTACTAATTTGACGCTGGATTAAAAAAAGATCATTTTCATAACCATAAAAAATAACTTTGTTAATTGAAAATCACTGTTTCTATATGAGAGAATATAAAATCTCAATGCACTTAAAGAAATGAACATGATAAATGAGATCACACCAGATTCTTGACAATTAGGCTTATAAAAAAAATCTCCGTCTGCTAGTTTCCAATTTTGGCTATAAATTAAAAATAACATGAGCAATCCAACTTTTTTTAATTCTTGGGAAATTGATGTACCCATACCTTAAACATCCATTCGTATTCACCATCTTTATCGAATTTGCCTTTCTGTAGCCATTTCAGCTTAAGCGTGAACCTAGGGCCGAGCTCCTGCAACTCAACTCGCTCTTTATCCTTAAACACATATCTAAACGCGAAAAAAAAATTTTTCTTTTATTTCATTTTTCACAATGTAGTTTGAAAAAATATTTTCACGGACCTGTGACGCCTGAAAAATATAAAATCACGTTGATTGTGAAAAGTCGCAACTTGTCGTCCTTGGAACTCTGGAACATGCGGGAATAATGCTTGAAGCCACCGACCAATGGTGTGACCAAGGCGTGTGTTGAAGTTATTGAGGATTAGTTCTGGTTTGTATAATGACGATCTTCCATGGCCCTTGGAGAATAACAAAACTACAGTCAATTGTCCGGTAAAAGATATATGATAAATCAAGAAGCTAATGATTATGTGTGAGTTTGTAAACTAAATATAATCTTCAACATACTTCAATTTCGCGGCTCAATTTAATACTTGTTAATTTGAAATACGCAGTCGGACCATCGGGTAGATGGACCATAGTTATGGCGTCTTTAGGGTAGGCAAAAAAAGAAGTTAGCTCGTCTTTCAGATAAGTTAATTATAGTTAATTCTATATAGTTACATGGAATTTTCTTGTCTTCATTTACGACAATAACATCCGTGTAATCTCTGCTTGCACTAAGTTCGATTATTTGTTTGATAGAAAATTTGTTATTTCTTTTTATAAACCGACTATTAGGGAAGACGTCTATCAGTTCTGATGCAAATTCGTAACCAGCTTTTGACGGCCTTTTGTTTGTTGTAATGAGTATCTTTGGCGAGGCTCCCTGAAAATATTTAGAAAATTCATCTGACATCTCATCTTCGAGGACCTCCTGATCTTCAGGTTCAACTACTGTTTCATCAAATTCTCGAACATTTTCAAGCGTTCGAGGAATATTTTTCGATAATCGTTCCTAATTTGCAAACATATCAGTAAAAGATGCATTCGAGTAGGAAATAGTTATTATAAAAAACCTCTTTTTTCTCCGGGTCCTCGGCTTCTTCTTTTCGACGTTTCCGTCTTTCCTCTATTTTACGGTGATTCTTCTCTTGCTTTTGTTTAGCATGAACTTCTTCTCTTTTGATTTTATTTTTTATTCGAGACGGGATCACTGAAGTCATTTTAAAAGTTTCTTGATAATCTAGCACATCACTTAATAGATCGACACTAGGAATAATTGGTTGATGGTAATCACATGATATGATCTTGCTTTAAGATCTTCGCAATCAGTCTTTGAATTTTTAAAAATGGGAAAAAGAAAAAACAGAAGCAATAATGAGAGTGAGTTGGGTGAAGTTGGAATGGATTCCGATGTGCCTGACGAAGAAAGTCAAAATGATGTTTCAGACGAGGATGAAGTAATTACACTTTCTCTTATAGTAAAAAAAAAAAAAAAAAAAAACTGATACTACAATGTAGACTCATTTTTTTAAAATTTAAGGAACAAATTGTAGACGTAGATTTTGATTTTTTTGACCCAAAGGAAATCGATTTTCATTCGATAAAAAATTTGTTGATTCAATTATTTTCCTCGGATTCTGAACTTTTCCATTTGAGTGAGTTGACGGACTTGATTATCGGTCAACCTTTATTGGGTAGCACTGTCAAAGTTGATGGATCTGAATCCGATCCTTATGCTATACTTACCGTGCTTAATATTAATGAACATAAGGTAAAATATTTTACAGAATGATGAACTTTTTGTTATTTATTGCGTAACATTCCTTTCTTTTATGTCTAGGAAAAACAATGTATGAAAAGTCTTGTTAGTTATTTATTGGAAAAAACAAAAAAAGATTCTAGATTAAATGACAAACTCAACAACCTTTTCAGAGAAAACTCTGATCAACATGTCGGATTGATTATAAGTGAAAGATTAATTAACATGCCAGTACAGATTGTTCCGCCAATGTATAAAATGTTACAAGAGGAGATTCAATGGGCCATTGACGACGCAAGTACCAAATTTTTTAATTTTATAGATTCGATCTTAAAGAGATTATTATATAATATCCTATTTTATGTTATTCTATTAGAACGAGTCATATAGGTTTGAATGGTACCTCATTTTATCAAAAACATATAGAGAAGTTATGCCCACCGTAGATGAAGTGGGCGCTCAAAAGTCGAGGAAAAAGAAAGTGAAGGTATCTTTCTTGCAATTTTTTTTGTCTACTTATATTTCTTTAATCTATATCCAATCGATTCACTATTCTTTTATATTGCATAATTAATAGTCGGAGCAAGATATCTTCTATTTCCATGCCGAAGATGAAATAATCGAACAGGTAAAATATTCACTCCTGTTTTTGTTAGACAAATTTATTGATATGTAACACGTTTAATTAAAAAAAAAAAAAAAAAAATTCATAGAATGCAGATTATCAATTAAGCTTCCAATTCACAAATCAATCAACAGCAGTATCAGATTCTCGAAGAGCTTTTAGTGAATTTGGTATTGCACCTGAAATGAAATTATTCCTGTTGCACATATCAAAGTTTGATAAACTAGTTCAGGATTTGGAAAACGCCTGCAAGTAGAATTTATTGCAAATGGTTAGAATACTCAGACACATTCTTGATCGTTTTCCGATTGTAATTCATTGCATTCAAATATTTTCTGAGTCGTTGCGATGCATTTCTTGAAGTTAAACTGTATTTCGCGCATGTAATATTCTTATAAACTATACTATGTAATCAATACTCTAAAAGTTTCGAATAAATAATATTTTGATCATTTTTCTTCGTGTCATATTTATGGGTAATTATTTTTGAGAACTAATAAAATTTTTTGGACCAAAAATTGGAGCCCTAAATAAAGTCTTAAATTTATGCTATTTAAAGTATATTATACGCTTCGTAGCCAAAAGAATTTTTTTGATATTTAAAATTACTAATCTTTTTTTTTTTAAAAAAAAAAACCTTCGCATAATACAATTCTATATGCTTAGATAACATACTGCTTAAATTTAGAAAAATAACAAGTTTGCTTTATTTCACAAAAAAGAAAATAGGTCAGACCAACTTGATTTATAGTCAAAAAAAGAAATGTCGACATTAATTTTATAGCTAGGCCAGTACATGTTGTTACATTTCTTAATATTAAAAAAATCCTTGAAGAAAATAAATTAAGTTCAATAAATCAAGCAACTTTAAACTTTTCAAAATCTAGAAGAATATCAAAACTCCAAGATTTAAATAGCCTAATTTTTTTTTTTTTGTATACCCGTAGCCAGGCTAGATCATTAGTTTATTAATCAAATGAAGACAAAAGTACATTTTCATTC